CATACATACATGTCATGCTCAACTTTGTTTCACGTACTAATATCTAAGTGATGATATTAAATCAGGACAAGTGAAATTATACTCTATTTAATATTTGCTCCTTTAAAAGCTATTTAATTTATTTGTATGGTGCTTTCACAATGCATAATGTGAGTGCCTTACAAATCCCAGAGTGTGATTATGGAAAAAAACAAAAAAAATCTTCCTTGCATGGATACTGGTTAATTTCAGAAACATCTTAACATCAATTTTATGGCACTATAGGCTACTGATAAATAAAACTGGCAAAGATTACATTCGGCAGATGCTTTTATCCAAAGCGACTTACATCACAATGGAGGGATACATTTGTTGGTTCATGCATTTCTGGGAATCAAATGACCTTGGCATTGCTAGCACCATGCTCTACTGTTTGAGCAACAGAAATTAAAGTCATATTATATATACTAGTACTATTAGTCTATAAATATTATAACTAAGAAATAATTGCTAGTATTTTGCTTTTACTCATAGTAGCCTACCAGAGAGTAAAATACTAAATAATACTACAGCAGTAACAAAATTGGAATAGATAGTTGAAACTATTGGTATAGTTACTAGTAACTAAGAAAAAAGTACTAATATCTTATGGATGGTTAAACTGGAATATGTATCAGCAACAACTGGAATATTGTATACTTGTCAGAAGTAATTAACTGATTTCTGAACCACTGATCACCATAGATTTCAATGGCAAAACTATTATTTATAATAACAATGAAATAGGTTTTTGTCACTAAATGGCGACTAGTATGAACATGTTATCTGAATAAGTGACAGATTGAATGGATTCAAGACCATTTTTGAAAACAGAAATCAAAATCTAGTGTTAATCACTTAATATTAAAAAGATAGCCTACTAGTTCGTCTAAAGGAAAATGTTAAGGCAGCTTGCCATAATGGCTGGACTAATGCGGTGTGACAGTGCTTACTTTCACACAATAGGCCATATTAAGGGAATAAAGCGATCTCTTTCATTTGTAAAAGATGGTTATAACAGGGAAGAACAGCGTGATGTGGGTCTCTCAGAAATACATGTGACAGCAGCACACAGGAGATCGAGACAGCTCGCGCGCACACACGACATCACCTCCAGTGTCCCTACATTTACGCACGAAGCATGTCACATTATTCCCGTTACTCTGACAGCTCTGTGCATCACGTTTAAAGTCACCCAGGACGACAGGGAGCCGTCTTTCATGTCTTACCGTCCGCAGGCTGCTGGAAGTTGACGTAGGCATAGCCCAGCGAGCGCCGCGTGATCATATCCCGACACACGCGGATGGACAGCACCGGGCCGGCCGGACTGAATTTCTCATACAGCATAGCCTCCGTGATATCAGGGTGCAGGTCGCCCACATAGAGAGAAGCCATCGGATAACTCCCCGCGGTCGCTGCGTTCATATCTCGGTGTCGTTCAAGCCTTTGAGCTCGTGTGTTTTGTCTAGTGCTGAAATGCGTAAAGAGTGTCCTAGAACCAGAGGGACAAATTAGTCTATTAAACTTTTACGCTACTCTCCAGATAAACGATGTCGGTATCACTGACAGCTACAGCATATGGAGTCCGGTCGCGAGGAACTGGCTTCAGAAATCGTCTGGGTAGTTGGAGACCTTGTCTTTTAAAAAACAAAAAAAGTTGTTTTAAAGTAGTTATTTTTTGAGGTTTTCGGTATTTTGTATTTTTTATGTTTTTTTTTTTCTTTTTTAAAGGTACTGAAGAACAGTGAGTTATACACTCACGGTGTGGTGGCCGGGGAAAGAGAGTGCGTGGGAAACGCACGGGCACTTTATAGCTCGAGCGGAGGAAATAGCAGCCAGGGTCGCACTCTGGATAACAGAAAAAAAACACGCGCACCGAGCATGCGGTGTAACATGACAGTAGGCTACATTCAACAAGGAACATCCAACAGCGACATCTGCGTGCAGCAGTCTACAGCACAAGGTTTCTTTTACATGAACATGGGTCACCTTCAAAATACTGACAAAAATTCATTTAATCAAAAAAAAAACTTAAATTAACCCTCTCATAAATGGTATAATTCTTTGGCCTGATATTTTATGATGCTAAAGTTCACCATATTTGCAAATCAGAAAAAGATAACCAAATTCACCAGGTAGGCAGTTTACCATGAAAAACAGGTGTTTATATTCCTGTAAAGGTGATGAGTCATAGCAGTTTCATTACTTTAGCTCAAAATAAGTAAAAATTAAAAAGGCTCAGCATTACCAGACATCCATATGATAACCAATTTGAAATTACTTTCCCTCCTACCAAATTTCACAAAACCCAGATAATTTTTTTTTTTTTAAATCCAGGTATTTAAATGACCAAAACAAAAAAAATTGCAATGAGGAAAAAAAAAAAGCTTTATTTGAGTTGAAATTTCAGAAATTACATTTCACACAAATGCAAAACAGGTCACTGATGGATTTTTAATAAAAACAAAAATCACCAGTCCATTGACCTCAGTTGATCTAATAGGGATGAAACTAGACCTTTAATTTCAGAGGAGCCCTCCACCCGCTCATCCTTTTGTCTTTTCTCGCCATCCCCCTCTGATTGCAGAGTCTTCTCCCATTTTGTCATGCTGGGCCTTTTCCGTTCTTCATAATTGAGAGAACTGGATCCATCTGCAGCTTGTTTCAGACTTAGTTTAGAGAAGAGAACTGGCTCTTCAGCTCCTTTAGAGCTTTTAAAGACCATCTCAGCGTGTCTGAAAACAACTTCATCCTTATCCTCAGCACTCTCAGAGAGCTTATCTGGTGTAGGGTCGACCACTGATTTGTCATTAGAAGGAAAGTCAAATTCAGATTCAAAATTCAGTTGAGGCTGCAATAAGTGACGTACTTCAGTCACAACAGGTTTCTCCTGAATCTCATGCAAGCGGGCAACATCTTTAAGATGCCACATGCGCAATTGGTCCTCTGCAACATCATGCAAATGCACAGCTTCAACTTGAGCTTTTCCTTCATCCACAGCAACTGTCTGACTCATCTCAACAGTGCTTTCATCTGGTTTCAGCTTTCTAAAGGGTTCGTCACTTTGAAGGGTTACATCAACATCATGGTTTTCTGGATAACCAATTCCCACTTGCACCACTGGTGGCAACTCAAGCTCCATGATGTCTGGTAGCCACATTGATATATCGCTTCCCTGTCCCTGGCTGATTATAACCAAACCACCAAAGCTAGGCTGAACAGGCCAGGGGGAGACATTGCCAATGTTTTGCTTTGAGCTCCCGGAGAAGGAGGCACCTGCCATGATCAATCTTTTATCAGACAAGTTTCTGGGTGTAGGGCTGGACTTTGTTGCACTGTTGTCTGACAGTGATGTTGCCTGTGCCTGTGGTGCAGATGGCTGATCCTTAATAATCAGGGGGCCGGTGCTTACTACTGCGCTCAGGTTTGGAGAATCTGTAACAGAAACAGTGGAGGTTCATTTCAAAGCAACATACAGGGCACAGAAAGTTTTTGTTTTAGAGGTCCAGCAGCTCCGGTTCTTGAAGGAGTGGTTTAATTTTTTTGCATTTGCTAGAAATATTGGGAACACCACTTTAAGGTTCTTTGGTCACATGAACCAGTTCTCTTTTAAAATGGATTAACTTTACTTAAATGTAGTATCAACTAGAAGTTGAGCATCTTTACATTGATGCACTGTGAGCCAATATGAGCAGAATTGTATTTTATCTTTTGTTGTTTTTGCATTTTTAAACCAAAGATTAATAAATATAAAAAACACTAATTAATAGTTCATTTTAGCCAATGCAAGTTCTTCCTTCGCAGTGTATTTTGTATTAAGAGAGATCAATGGAAATGTAACATTTAACTAAAATGGCTAGTGACAGTATGGTTAAACTGAAGCAGGCGATCCTTAATCTGGAGTCAGCCCTGGACATGGGTACTTTGTTCATTTAAGTTCCAGCTCATATACTAACCAGGAAGTTCTGCATGCCCCAAGCTTCTGCACCTTTTCCCACAACAATCGCATACGGATGTTTTGGCACCCAGGTCAACCCATCTGAAAACAAAAGGTTTAAGTTCCAAAAGCCTATTAGGACAAAAGGACCAAATTTAGAGGAAGATCAGATACAAACTTACCTTGATTTGAGCTTGTTGTAATTGCAGAATTTAGTGACTGAGGTCAGACCCACATCAGAAAGATAGACTCTGCAGTGAATATAAAGCTAAAGCAAACAGGAGAGCATTATAGATCTAGCTATGGTCAGCTTGTTGGATTATAGTAATCCTAACTGGGAATGAACACTCACCTCGGAAGACTTTAAACTGGACGTACGAACAATGAAATTGACAACGTCACTACGTCGCAACACAAACTTCACCAAAGACTCTTTGGAAGCCACGCAGCTGGCAAACATAAAAACAAAAGCTAAATTATTTCAGGGAGTAAGTATAGAGAGAGAGAAAAAAAACTTGTTTGTTGACCTACCCTTTGTTAATGATAAGGGCGACTTCAGGTTTCTCAGCAGGGTTTGGAGAGGAGGACGCATGGCAGGACTGGACGTAAAGCTGTTGACCAGGGGCAGGCGAGGCGGACACCTGTAGATATAACTGCTCTCCTTTGTGGAACACGTTAGTATCTGCTGGATCACTCCAAGATGCTAAAGAAAAACAAATGTTAGACAGTAAGACAGCAACTACACCTAACAGGATTAAGTGCATTTTAATAACATACAGTTCATGATCCTTAATGAAAAACCACTTCTTTTCTCCAGTAGACCCATATCATATTGCATTGGGAAACCAGATCCAAACCCATCAAAAGTGTGAGGTTGAGGGATTCCATTCAAGAAAAGTCCATCTTCAGCAATGCCAGGAAAGTCAAAAACATGCCAGACATCATTGACGACTCCCGGTGAGTACGATGAAATGCGTCCATTAAAATCATTCCCGTTAGATGCAACTGGCAGAGCAAGACACGCTATAGCGGAACATAAGACGACAAAAACCACCGCCATCCCAAAATTTTAGTTTTGATCTGCGAGAAAACCAGTACTGAGTTAATTACACAGCCACTTTAGCTGTCTTTCTTTTCCTGCCTACCTTTAAATTGAAGCTGAGTGCAGGTTTACAATGTGCAGGTTAATGAATTAATGAGAGTCAGCTTATCAAGTCCAGGTGTACCTCATCAGCTCATCAACGCTGACTACTGATTGGGCTTCTTTATTTTTCTTTCAGATTCATTAAATCTTTTTTTTATTTTATTTTTTAATACACTAGACAATATTTTCAGAAGTAAATACCAATTTTGTCATTCATAAATTAAAACGAAACCTTATTCTTTAAAAAAAGGTTAGGGTTAAGGTTAAGGTTAGCTCGCAAACCCACCAAGATTATTCCATAGGCCAAATTAGTTGGCTAAATTAGCAGCAAAATTTCAAACATTGTTTCGTAAAAAGTGTATTTGAAAGGGGGAAAAAGAATGTCAACAATGTAATGACATAACAGTGCTCGCCTCGGAGACGGTATAAACTCCATGTAAGTTACAGCGACACCTGCAGCGTGCCCATGATCAGGTGAGCGCGCGGAGAGGGAGTGGCCATGCACGCACACGCAGGTGAACGGGAAGAAGGAACTCAGCCTGAGAGGCACGGTAAGAGGAGAAGGTCCTTGAACATGTTAAACTTTTAATTATGACTTCGTCTGAAAGAAGGACTTCAGGATGGTGAATTCGGGTGAGTTGGGCTTTGGAATCATTTAGTAAAGTAAAGTGTTCATTTCATGGAGTGGGAGTATGAACAGGCTCGCGAACGTTGTCAGGGTGTGGTTGTTTATCTTGATAATAGATCAACACAGCGTTCTCTCGCTTACTGAATGTTACGAGTTTAGTAATGACCGGCATTTATACTAATGTTGCCTGCTAACTTACATTAATGTTAATTTCGCACATGTTGTATTTTTATAGCTTGTTTAGATGTATGGTGTGGAAGATTTGATATCCACTATGAATGTGTTATATGCAACCTTTGTGATGGGATGTTTATTTTATTTATTTATTTTGATGAAAGTTATGTGTTATATAATGCACTTTACAGAAAATGAAAATTCCGTCTTAATTTACTCCCCATTAGCTACGTCCTTCCAAACTAGGACATTTGTCCTAGGATAGGACTTCTGTGGACTGAAAATGTGGAGCAAAAACACCATCCAAACTCTTTTGTTTTACAGTCATATTCCAAGTAGCCTACAGTTCCTCTTCTTGAAAAAAGCCTAAAATGTAACTCGGGAGACCTTGTCAATTACATATTTTATTCAGCAGTAAAATCTGAATATCGTAACCCATCTGTGTTTGTTCGTAAACTTTGGGGGTGTCGCTAAGAATGGGGTTGCGTCCCTTTCAATGATTGACTTTTTCTTTCACCATTTATCAGTTTTTGCATTTAAATTGTTAATGATGATTTTTTAAAAAAAATATATTTTTTAAATTGTACCATAGAAGGGGAAAAAAAAGGTCATCTAGGTTTTCAACAGCATGAGATGAGTAAATGACGATTAAACCAGTGAGAATTTAACAGTATTGTTCTCCTAAATTATCTTTTAAAAACCTAAATTATGGCCTGGTTGAAAGTGTACAATACAGCTGTAAATTGTGATGCATATATTTAATATTTATAAGATTATTTAATACAAATATTTAATTATTGATTTACAATTAAATCTTTAATCAATTGTCTACAATTGCTCTGATTTAAAAAAAAAAATAGTAATCACAAATGCATAGAAGTGAATGGGAATTCAGGTGTGGGGATCTCCATTACATCTGACCATCATCTTTGCTTTTTAGTGAAGTCACGACGCATGAAAGTGTAGTCTCAAGGTCATCTGGATTTCATGGTGCACAAAGTTCCTTCAATGTCTTGCTGTTTCTGTGTTTATGGTTCCTTGATATTGTGTGTGTTTTCTGTAGGTATTTGTTGTGGCAGTCTGAAGGATGACAAGATCCTGATGAAGATGGGGTTGGGACTGGTTCTGGTTGGTCATGTGAACTTCTTGTTGGCGGCACTGGTACATGGAGCTGTGCTTCGACACATAAGTGTGTTCACTTGGAACCGGAAACTCGTCTACCCCATATCAAATGTCATTGCTCTTGTGGCAGGACTCATGGTATGTCTGTCCTCAAAACTGTAATATATTGCTTGCTTATTATTTCCATTAGAGTTTGTTTGTGATCATTAACAAGTTGCCAGTGATGAGGCATAGCCAGATGAGGCATAGCTAGGTGTGTTAGTTGAAACCTCAAACTAACCCCTTGCGCTGAATGAATCCACACTATAATTCATACATCTGACCATGTTATAACCTGCAGGCAATCATTGGTGGAATTTCAGCTATTGTTCTCTCAAAGAACAAGAAAAACCACCAGCTGGTGAGTACTCGACTCAATACTGTCCTTTTTGTTAAGATCACATTTGTTATTTGTGTTTTTGCTACATGAGGTGTATTTGCTTTCACTTTAAAACGAGTGTCTTTCAATAGAAAAAAATATTCATGTATTATTTATTTCGGAACACATTCGAAATCTATCTTTGTTGCAGAGTTGGTTTTTACTAGTGATGAGTGTCCTGGCTCTTCTTTTGGGTGCCGCCTCTGCTGTGGGAATCAGTGTTGCTACAGTGAGGGTCATACATCTGGACGGGGAGAATCTGTTTGCCCACTGCAACCAGTCTGCCATCATAAATTTGTACAGCATCACAAACGAATGCCCCTTTGACCCCACACGCATCTATGTAAGTCAATTTATCTGCAGTCCTTGTGTAATCAAATGCAAATGAATGATATGAGTCTCATAAATGCATTTTTTTAAAGAGTTCTTTCTCTGTTTTAGTGTGCAACAGTTCTGGTGACTTAAATGCATCTCAAGGCAAACTAAATCTGTTATAAAACTCATGTACGATCATATTTTATCCTGAATTAGTTTATGTTAAAACTGAGGAACAAAGGCATAAAGGTAAAAGACAAATATTCAAGTGTTCTACTGTGTACCCCAACTTAAGTGCATGTGTCCAAACCTTTTGCACTCATATACCAGTATTAAAATAGTACAACATTGTTAATTAAAATAATGAAAATAACTTTTTTATTAAAATGTATGTGAAGCATGTTAGTATTTATACACAAAGGTTTTAAGCCAGTTATTTATATCTTTTGCTGTAGTGAGTCAGTAGGAAATGTCAGTTTACATTACCAAACATTCCTTTTACCATAAATCCAGTGAGATGTTTGTATGCACAAGGAGTCTGACAACAGCCAGTGCTCCACACTGAGATCTGATCTCACAGTCATAACGTCTGTCTGTGATTGCATGAAGAAACAAACAAAAAGAAAAAAACTGAGGCAGTCTAAATCTAGGAGTACTGTGGCCTCCAAGACGCTTGAAGAAACTTGCCTCCGCTTCACGTCAGGGTCCTCATCACCCTGTCAGAGGTTTATTCTGAGATAACAACCAGCTGGGTGTACATTATCCCTTACATATGCTCACAACCAGGATGCTTCAATGCACAACTTTATAAATTGAGGCGTCAGGTTTCGGCATGGAATTTTAAAATTGGGGTGGTCCCAGGGTGGTGGGTCACCAGGGTGGTGATGGATAAGACACATGCCTTTGGTGTGAGACGCATGGGTTTGAATCCATTGTGAGACACCAATTTGTCCCTGAGCAAGACACTTAACCCCTAGTTGCTCCAGAGGCGTGCGACCTCTGGCATATATAGCAATTGTAAGTCGCTTTGGATAAAAGCGTCAGCTAAATGAATAAATGTAAATGTAAAATTGCAAAAAAAAAAATCAGCTCTACATATTTGGCTAAAATTGCTTTTTTTTTAAATCAAGTAGTCACAAATGCATAGAAATGTCATGCAAAAGTCACGGGAATTCATTGTTAAAATGGTGATAGGACATAATGCGAAATTAGCAAGTGAAAGGAAATCTCCCTCCCCAACAAAAAAAAGAAAATATATATATATATATTTACAATATTCAAGGTATATTTCTCTCTCCAGGGTACTACATTAATCCTATGGTTTCCATTGATTCTGATGTCAGTGGTGGAGGTTGTGTTCTCCTGCCGCTGTTTCTTGGCCTGCACGTCGTTCCTCCGGATGCGCTGCCCATGGAGAAGAACTGTCACTAAAAGGGTAAATAGATTTATATGCGCTTTTCTGAAGGAAAAAACTTATAATACTTGCAAAGCTGCATAAGAGTAGTGTTAAAGGTTGACTTGCGTTTGAATTGAATGCGATCAAGACGAATCAGAATTTTAAATGAAATCATTTTGGGTTACGGATTGTTTTAAGAGCAATTTTGCATGCTAGCTCCACTTTAAACTTGATAAACCTTTGTGTTTGAATGCAATGTAAATCTTGGGGTTTAGGTGCGTGTCCAGCTGCCAGAAGAAACCCCACTGCCACCAGGAGATGATCCGAATGAGGCGGAGCCAGCAGAACATGACCTACTTGCTGTGGAGACAAGTGAACTGTAATTCACAAGTAAACATTACATGAACAATACATGCTTTTCAAAACCACTGCATGACAGTGGACCAAGAAATACCAAGTGCCAATGCACATAAAACATAAAAGTGTACTGCTCACTGAAATGGCTAGCAGGTGAAGAGAGGTGGTGCTCCGACATCTAATGAAGCACTAATGATGAGTGTCTTAAACGGTCTGACTGTGTGACCAAGTACTATAAAAGTGCATGTTTTATATATTAACCTCAAGAAAATATTTGATGTGTGTGTTTAATGTTACATTTCTGCACTGATGGGTTTCATTGTTACATTTATATTAAAAAGACTTTTCTATTTGAAACTGAATTGCTTGAACACAGTCCCTATAATTTATGCTAAATATTTATAAAACTCTTTTATATTATAAAACTACTATACATTTACATTGAAGTATATATATATATATCGCATCCAAAATAAAAGTTTGTGTTTACATAATATATGTGGGTGCACTGTATATAATTATATATATATATATATATAACACACACACACATGCTTGTATTTAAGAAATATTTTCATGTATATACTGTATATAGATTTATATATAATTTATATTATATATGAATATTTTACATATAAATAATTTTCTTAAATATACATGCATGTGTGTGTGTTATATATATATATATATATATATATAACCAGTGTTGGGTGTAACTAATTACTAAGTAATTAGTTACTGTAATTTAATTACTTTTCCCTTAAAAATGTTAAGTAAGGGATTACTCTTCATTTATCTGTAATTTAATTACAGTTACTTCTGATGTAATTGAGGTAAATACTGTGTATAAATCAATCCGATCTCACAACGATTCGTATGCATTTTATGAGGTGTCTAAATTTCTTATGAATTATTGTAAAATATGTATGAAAAAAGTGTGAAATGTCATGAGATCAGACATAAAACAATAGTGGGTTTAACATCAAAATGTATTGTCTGATGTTAAAAAGTATGTTTTTATAATGTAACCTTCTCCACCTTGGTCAGTTTAAGGATAATTCATGCAATTTTATAGTATTTATTTGAAAGAATTAAAACAGATTCATGTCTATCCTTGTATTATTCAGCTGGTTGAGACTGATATGGGATTTTGAAAGTAATTAGTAATTAAAAGTAATTAAATACTTTTTAGAGAGAGTAATTGGTACAGTAATCTAATTACACTGTTGAAGAGGTAATTAGTAACTAGTAATTAATTACTTTTTTAGAGTAACTTACCCAACACTGTATATAACCCACACCCACATATATTATGTAAACAAACTTTTATTTTGGATGCGATTAATCGTTTGACAGCCCAAATATATATTTTTTTAAAGGCTGTGTGGCTCTGTTGTTTCATAGAAATATTATTGGCCATGCTTGGGAAGTGATGTTCCTTGGTTTAACTTTTGGCCTGGGCTGCATTTCCTGAAAGCATCATAAGCCTAAGTTGATAATAGAACAATTACCATCGATGATCCCTATGATAAACATCCGATGCTTTTGGGAAGTGCAGCCCTGGTAAGAATTGTTGGGTAGATTTTCCTATGAGCTTTTTATAACTTGTTAGCACCAATGTTGTGAGGGTGAGAATGAAACTAAAAGAAATTTCACTTTAAGTCTGTTAAATTAAAACAAACTGCGGCCAGTGAATCTGTAAAAGAGCTGTCTAAATAGATGAAACGAGACGGAACGAGGCCAATTGATCTCTCGGACTGTTTTACTGGTTTAGTAGTTCATAATGCAGTTATTTATAAAAATAATAAGACAAAATAAAAATTAAAATAGCAGAATGCACAGAAAGCAGAAATACTGAAAGACAACACAAAGCAGGACATTCTTTCATCCAATCCACAAATCCCTGTTTAAAGGTATAGTTCACCCAAAAATTTCGATTTCTGTCCCTCCAAAGTTCATAAAGAGATCATAAAACCAATCCTTATGAATTGAGCGGTTTAGTCCAAAATTTTCTAAAGAGACCCAAGCGTTTTATATGATAAACAGATTGAATTTAGGTTTTTATTCACGTACAAACATCAAATCGCACATACTTTGTGGTAAACGAAAGCTCAAGCATGTTCACTTGACGTGAGAACCAATGAGGTTCATTATCATGTTGCGCAGCACGTTTGAGCTTCAGAACCAATGAGATTCATTCTCGTATTAAGCAGCACGTTTGAGTTTCCGAATAAGTTTTGTTCTCGCATGTTAATCAGGTTCAGTTGAGCTTCTGTTTGTGTTCACTCATTAATGTTTATAAGTGAATAAAATCAGTCTGTTCATAAAACGATCAAGTCTCCTCAGAAAATTTGGACTAAACCACTGAATTTGCATGGGTTCGTTTTATGACGGATCAAAGTGTCAATTGCGTAGCTGTCAACTGAAAGACAGAAATTGCTTCGATTTCATCAAAAAGCTCTTCATTTGTGTTCCAAAGATGAACAAAAGTCTTACGGGTTAGGAACAACATGAGGGTAATTGACAACATTTTCACCGTTAATCATTGGCTTATTCTCATCAATGTTTCTTTTGTCTTTTTACTATACTTAAAACTGTATTTAAAACCCATGACCCCATGGGCTGTCATTTTTTTTCAAATTCTGCTGTTCATAAGATGAATTTCTTCAGCATGGCTGCTCCTGGTACTGTCTCTCTGTGGCAGTGAAAAAGTCCTCTAGAACACTGCGCAGGTACTCAAAGGTGGGCCGGTTGTCTGGGCTCTCTGTCCAGCAGTGTTTCATGACGTTGTAGAGAGCCTCTGGGCAGTTATCGGGGCAAGGCATGCGATACCCTCTCTCAAGGTTTGCGATCACCTCTGGGTTTGTCATCCCTGAAAGATCAGGAGTAAGAGTCAAAAGAAATTCTGACATATGGCAAAATGAGGTCAAAGAGGAAGCACATTGAGCTGGTCTGTTACCTGGATATGGGATTCTTCCATAAGTAACAATCTCTGTCAGCAGTACTCCAAACGACCAGACATCTGATTTGATCGAAAAGGTGCCGTAGTTTATGGCCTCAGGTGCAGTCCATTTGATGGGAAACTTTGCACCTGTGTGATTTTTAAAAAGGCATCTTTTTAGGTATCTTTTAAAGTTTAGCAGCAGCCAGAATTTCTTGCATAAACAGAGATTCTGTGGTGATGTAATCCTAATGGAAATTGACAGACCAAAGCATGATGCAGCCGATGACCTTACCCTCTCTGGCAGTGTATTCGTTATTTTCGATGAGGCGGGCGAGGCCAAAGTCAGCGATCTTGCAAATGAGCTCAGCAGACACCAAAATGTTGGCAGCTCTCAGGTCTCTATGGATATAGTTCTTCTGCTCTATGTAAGCCATTCCCTCTGCGACCTGCAGGGAGCAGTAAAGTGTTAATAATAAGGCTGTGTGTGATTTATGGCTATGTAGTACCAAATTCTTTCTGAAGTATTTATACCATGCAAAGTATTTATGAAATACTAAGATGGCATACATTTGGTGTATTTAATAGACAATACTGCTCTAGATGCTGTATCTCACAATGCTGTGTGCTTTATTTGACCTTGTATTTCTAGTGTAAAAAATGAACTGCAATTAATATTTGCAAAAAAAAATCATTATTTTATAAAACCGCCAAAAACTGTAAACCGCTTTAATTTTATCAAGAATATTGTTAGTTTGTTCAAAATTAGTAATATTGTTAAATATTATTTCAATTTAAAACAACAGGTTTTTTTTGTCTTAAATTTTTGAAGCATCATTTATTCCTCTGATGACAAAGCTGATTTGATAAAAATGGAATTCATTTGTAAAATGATAGATGTCTTTACTCTCACTTTTGATCACATCCTTCCTGAATGAAAGTATTAAATTCCTTTTTTTATGATGGAATGTGCAACAACATGGTCATCATCTGACAACAATATTCCATAATATAACAATTTATTGTTGCATAAAAATTTCACATATTATTTTTTACAAACTGTACACAGTAGGCTGGTATTTCATTCTGAACATAAAACACGTTACACAGACGGACAGAGGTCAGTTCCTGAAACAGGGAGGGTTTTGCTTTTACTTCCTTTGATTTGACTTTTAACCTCCACTGCTCCACTCCACCCAGCACAAACCCATAGGTTTCATTCAGAAGGTTAGTTTCCTGATGCATAATCTTTCTTATTTTCCCCATGTTTGCGCTAGCTCCAGTCTTGACTGATCTCAGAACAGTGATGGCTACTGAGCTTCTCAGAGATTTGCTATTTCTGACCTAGACGCATAGAATGAGCGGGAAGGACAACGGTTCTCCTAGATCGGCTCTTTGGTGATCCTGCCATGCTCTAAACCTCTTTCACATAAAATTAGACTGAGGCCTGACACTATAAGGTGCGTGTGTGTGCAGATGCATTATGGGTGATGCATGATGGTAGTGTGATTTTTGCAACGCTGTACAGATTTTTTTATAGAGGATGTTGCACTATGACACCATGTGCATGTTTGTTCAAGGAAGTGTTACACAGACCGTCAAAAACGTGTTGGTTTAATGTGAAAGTGCCTGACAGTTTTCCATAAACGTGTGAACATGTCTGTGTCTGTGTGTTGACAAGAGGCATGCAAGTATATAAGTAGTTGTTTCGCCAGGACCTTTTAAAAGCCCTGAAGGATCTCATTCACTTTATGGAGAAGAACTCGAGCACTAAGCTGATCCCTAAAGCAAAATGTCTCTTTTTAATTTCGCTTCAAAACATTACATCTCTTACTTTCCCTCATCCTTTCTCCGCCAACATTTCATTGAATATTTTGAAAAGTGATACCGTTGTTACATCTATCCCATGTCACACGATCCCCGTGAACCTCTGACCTGCAACACCGCTCTAAAACATCAGTGTTTTATCATCTTCACACTCCAATCAATTACACACTGAGCACATGAGGCACTCACTAATAAAAACATTCATACCATGAGTGATCAAGGCCATCTGATAGCCTAATTTTTAACCCGATCAGTCAATTTAGGAATAAACCCAGAGCTGAATAAAAGCGCAAACTCTCTCTTAAGAAAATTACAGTCTGTCTGTAAATATTTCATGATCTCTATCTGATTCTACACTAGCGTTCCAGCCAGAATTGTTCCCATAGTAATTAGATGTTCTCGATGAAGCATGGAGTGTCATTAATTAGGTCAATTACTTTGACCTAAATTAGGTCCTCACTATCTGTGTACAGTGTTTCCCTGCAAACAAACAAAGAACTGTATGTTGGCCCAGTGAATGTAAATGTAATGCCAGTAAGAAATAATGTATTTTCTACAGTACGTGTACGCATTTCTATTGTCTGTTCATCTAGTCGGTTTATAGATTGGTGTGGGTAGTTTTTTTTGTATTAAAATGTCTAGACTCGTTCCAGCACACACAGTATTGCTCATTGTTAACCATAAGATTAGGAAGCAGAACAGCAGCTGAGCAATGCTGACGTCACCAGCTTAGAGACAGCGGTGGAGGAATGAGTGATAAACTGAATATACAAGGGTCTTAAAAGCTTGTAACAAGTAGAAATTTGGGACAGTTTGTTTCCTGTAGGGCACAAATGTTTCACCCCTGATGTTATGAGCGCATTATTGACACCCCCACCAAAAATGATATGGTCAGCCTACCTGGGCGGACATGTCGATCAGCACATTGATGGTTAAATTAGATCCTTCTGGAGTCTTCAAAAAATCCACCAGGCTGCCTAAAAGTCAACACGACATTTTAACATGCATAAATTTTATATACAGCAAAAACATGCAATGACAGAATTTATTAAATTTGCCGTAAACCATAAAATATTAAATGTGCTCAAAGAAATAATTTGGCTTGAAACTATGAAAACTAGACACTAGTTGGCGCTAGTGAGATTTACGAGGGTATTTTCCACTCCCAGCATCCACTGCAATAGTAAAAAAAAGTTTTTTTTTCACATTTTATTTATAGTTTGTAAGTCTTCTGTCTTGTCTTCAGCTGCCTTTTTTAAACATTCTTTTACCACAACTGAATGTTACCGGAAGCACGCTCTCTCCATCAGTCATTTTAGTTCAAAGGCAAAAGGAAACAGCAGATGAATGCTGTTATTTTGATGCTTAAAAAGTTCTGTAAGCTCTTCTCAAAGTTCCCAAGAAGCGCAAGCAACAGCACTCAGATTAGATCCAAGAACTAGAACATAACAACTGCAGGAAATTAGTGCAGCCAGTTTGGATCAGTCACTGAGACGTTGAATGTTAAAGGCCAAAGTTGTTGCTTTTGAGACGACAGGCTGTGTTGGAAAAAGAAGAACTGACTGACCCTGAAGGAAATTCCCACAAAGGTGCAGCGGAAAATGCCCCATTAGGAACACTAATGTCATACGCCGTACACATTCCTTTGATCTCAGATCACATTAGGGTGTAAAATTCAAGGTCGTGGGTTAAGTTTAGTGTTTTTGAATCATTCTGTCTCCATTGTTAAAATGACAGAGGGGTGGAAAAGGGGCTTCTTTAAAATAACAACACAGACAACAATTGTACTTTTAAACGCATCACATGGACTCCAAACAAAGAATTGGGAGGTTGACGAGCTGAGCATAGTGTTCCATCAGCTTCCTTTAAGAGGGAACACAAAGCAGGAGCATTCACAAGCTCTGCCATCAGCTCGCTGACGTTGTAGCAACGTGGCTGTTCCTCTTAGAGTCTTTTGTTACTGTCGGCGTCAATATGACATTCTGGAGGCCCAGCAATCCTCTTAGGGGCAATGAGACCAACAAACTATCCATACTGGGTTACATATGGAATAACATGCATCGCAATGCGGTTGGGATGACGACCCAAGGTGCTATTGTTGCGTTAAAAAGAGATAGGGTGTGGAGGTCTTTTCTGTGAACACCTGTGACCATGGTGGCCATTTAATAGTTTGATTTGTTGTTGTGAGTTTCTGGGTGGTTGGCTCTGAATTAGAAAGCATTCCCGATACTAGCCTATGGAACAAAGACTTTCTTTCTATACCTCACATTATCTGCCTTTTCCTCTCTCTCTCTCTCTCTTGCTCACTTTCTCTGTCCATCTGCTTTCTGCCTCACTCCGTCTCTTTTCAGTGTGATGGGATTCACGCTATAACTTTTACCCTGCTTTCTATGTGAGGCTTGTTTTGATGGTGCTGTGCATTGTTCTAAGTAGGTTGCAGTGAGATGCTGTGTTTGTATGAGGGTTTTATTGTGCATTGGAGAAACATAACGCAACAGAGCTGCAGCTATAAAGATCTTTAGCTCCTCTGAGACAAAAACGCATTTGCTTCTCATGATTGCAGGTTTCTCAGGAGAGGAGAATATCGCAAAAATATAACAATATTATAGCATCTCAAGCCTTTAGTTAAAGGAATAGTTCACCTAGATTTAAAACTTTAAACCTGTATGGTTTTCTTTGTTTAGTGGAACACATTTTTCTCTCTGAAGGAGACATTTTGAAGAAGGTTCACGCTGCACTTTTCAGTACAGTGAAAGCGAATGAGAATCAACGGCTGTCAAGCTCCAAAAATGACGGAAATATTCTAAAAGCACCATAAAAGTAGTCTTTAGGACTTGTGCAACATTTTCCATTTCATTTAAAGCGGTTTTATGCCATTTTTGTGCTTGACACAGAAAATAAAACAGCATAAACATTGGTAAACATCTTTGGTGTTCTACAGAAGAAAGAAAGTCATATGGGTTATGAACAAGACTAAGTGAATGATGACCGAGTTTTCATTTTTGGGTGAACTAATACTGAAGAAAGGGATGGAAAATCGTTAAAAATGTTTTGAAGAAAATTAATGGAACTTCTCAAATGTCCATCAGACCTGACTGAGTATTACAACAGCAACATTCTGAGAGCTAAAATAGAATGATGTGACACAAAACACAAGGAATTAGACAAGCGTTCTAGATAGAACACTCAAGGTGGGAATGCCAGATATGAAACACAAGCTTTGCATGCATGCTATTTACAAGAGTGTTACGACAGACACCAGAACCGCTTAGTGAACAATGACTGGCATTATGAAGGAATAAACATCAGGGCCGTAACTACCACCTTGATGGGACATGTCCCTTCCAAATATTCAGATTAGTTGGTGAGTTTTACTGTATGTTTGAGTTTATCTGTAAGTTTTACTTTTGGTACCTGTCCCTTCTTAATCTTGAAAATTCACACTAGCTTTTTGTTTTAGCAAGAATCAAATTAAATGCACTGATACTTTTACATTGTTACCAATAAAATTCCCAAAAAATGTATTACGGATCAAACCCGTAAATTATGTTATTTTTTTTACGCAAACAAAGCAGTCGCGCCTCTTCGTAAAACCACTGGAATCTACTTTAATGATATCTTTACTATACTTTTGTGTCTTCATCTTTAGTTGAGTTCCGAAGATGAAGGAAAGTCTTACGTTAAGGGTTTGGAACGACATGAGACGTCATAAGTTACTTAATCACAGAATTTTCATTTTAGGGTGAACTAACTGTTTTATTATAATAAGAAGAAATGTTTCTTGAGCACCAAATTATACTTGCAATATCTTAAAATAAAAAAACTAAAAATAAACATTTTAAATTGTAATAATATTTCACAATATTACAGTTTTTACTGTATTTTTGATCAAAGAAATGCAGCCTTGGTGAGCCTAAGAGACTTCTTTTGAATGGTAGTGTATATTGTTGTTAAATCTCCGTTTTATGAATAAACGGGGGAACGTGAGCATTGTATGTTAACAAAGATGTATAATCATAGTTAATCTTAAAATGTCTATAGCTGTGCACAGTGTTGTGGGTAACTCATTACATCAAATCAGATTACTTTTTCAAGTAACTAGTAAAGTAATGCATTACTTTTAAAATTTACCACAAAATATCTGAGTTACTTTTTCAGATTAGTAACGTGAGTTGCTTTGTTTTATTGACTGACAGTGCTCTTGTCCCCATGTACAGTATGGGTAGGTTTAGTTCTGGGGTAGGTTTAGGGTTGGACCACTAGGAGGCGCCTTCTGGCCCATGTCTCATATTGACGCTAAAGGGTGCCATGTGCGTTGGATGTATACGCATTGTGAAAAGAGTCAGTATATGATGCTGCGCCCTCTACTGTACATGCGTGAATTTACGTTTCCTTCAGCATGAGGATTATTATTTCACTTTTGGTGTTAAAAAAAGTCTTTACATTTGCCCAAAACCTATAACAATTTTGTTATAAAAAAAAAAAAGTCCAGCCCAGGTGAGAAAAAAAGTTACACAAAGTAATGTAACGCATTACTTTAAAAAAAAAAAAAGTGACTAAGTAATGCAATTAGTTACTTTTTAAAGGAGTAACATGATAGTGTAAATCATTACTTTTCAAAGTAACTTTCCCCAGATCTGGCTGTGCATTCGTTCATATAAGAAAAAGAGGCAGACCACATGTTTGAAAATGTAAAAACACTGTGGTCAATGAAAGAGACTGAAAAAAGTTTCCCCTCAAAAATACTGTACAGAGTCATTCAGGTGAGTGAGGGACGCATTTTGAGATGCCTTCGGTATCTTCAAAGCCGTGAGAAAGCTTTGTTTTCATAGAGCGGACACAACTGTTGAACTGCTCTTGGCTTTAACACACTCAAACAACGCTCAGACAGTGCTCACGGCCCTGATACTACTCAGACTTGTTAGATCATGAAACCCTGATGAAAATTTAAATGGAAGTTACTCAATGAGATTGTCTGTGTTTTGTAAAGAACGTCCAGGTGAAATGCAGGGATGAATCATTTAGTACTATAAAGGATTTGTAATTTCATTGAACTCTCCCCTCCTTTGTTTGAACGAGTGTGTAAGTGCATCTGTGTGTCTCACCGTTCTCCATGTACTCTGTGATGATATAAATGGGCTCCTGTGTAACCACAGCAAAAAGTCGCACAAGTCGAGGGTGCTGCAGGGTCTTCATCAGGTTTGCTTCTGCCAGGAAAGCACTCATGGACATGGTACCTGGTTTGAGACTCTTGATAGCCACTCGACGGCTATTGTTGTACAGCCCTATAAAAGGAGAGAGAGAATAAATTATGTATGTCTTATTTTAAAGCGGTAGTAGTTCACCCATATAAAAATTTTCTCATCAAGTTTTTCATGTTGTATCAAACCGGGGAGGGTAATTATTATAGAGTTGTTTATAGAGTTTTTTTTGGGTGTGTTTGAACTATCCCTTTTAGACTCAATAATCTTATTCTCAAAACATGCAGGAGCTCAATCAGCGAGAATGATTTACTTGAGACAAACTATTTCATTAAGGCCTAAATTAAATCTTTCTGTTTGGATCACATAATTATAAAGGAATTTAGAAATAAGTGGCCGTGTGAAAACTACTGGTACTTTCTTGTCATGAGAGTGTTTTTGCATAGGGGTGTTTGTAAAGAATTTGCTGTGTGAGAAATTCACAATGTTTTCCTTCATTGAGTTTGTCTAACTGCTTTATAACCGGTTGACTTTATGTCTATGGGCTTGATTTGTGTGATGTTATCTCACCAATGAAAATAACTGAGGTTTAATGAACTGTCCATTACACGGAACAGTTCTTTCATTTGAATAAAGAAAGTCATTCACTGCAAAAAAACAAACAAAATGGCACCTATGATGCGGGGTCTCGTGGTCACGGAGCTGACAGGCAGTGATAACAAGTCAGTTGCTATGGCAACCAGGGACAGGAAGTGGTAAAAACTCAAGCATTGATGTGACTTCTATAGTTCTATTTTTAGGGTGAACACAGGACAAGCATGATTTCACAGCTGTATTTTGTTTATATTTGAAAACCAAATGTCTTCTCATTTTTTTTCTACAAGACGGGTCAATTACATTAAAAGATAGATTGGTCTAATTTGAACATGAGATCACAGCTATAGCAAACCACAACAAATCAATTCTCAATGGACAAAATCAAGCCCCGCCCTACATTTATTCTTGTTTATTTCACTCAGATATACGTCACAATTGGGAAGAAAAGAACTTTCGGTTTATGACGTATTGTAACATATTAATACTACCAGTTTCTGTTTGAAAACAAGCAGCTTTGTCATAATTACATTATAAATTAGGAAAATATCTTAGCCTATATGGTGGGGCTATGAGTTTGTCCAACACAAAATTTAAATCTAAATGGTTGAGAGTCTCAGTTCTAGATAGATAAATACAATAGCTACCACAAAATTCATCTTTAAAAGTTATTCAAGGTGACTTACGAATGCCTGTTGTTAGTTGTTTTGTGTGTAAAGAGTGAGTTTAAGCACACATACGAGTATAATTGTCTTCAGACCAAAATGCTGAATCTGTTTATTTACAGTGGTCTGACTGACTTCAATGCTGAACAGTACTAGCGTACTGTATTTACAGTTATGATATGCCAGGCGGTTGCTGAGACACTCTCTTTAGCCTGTAGATGCATGTTTATCAATACTCTTTTGATGGTACAATTCACATTGTTTGCTCACGCTCACAAACATTTCTAGACAAGCACAGACAGACCTGGCCAGGCACCTGGATGCTTAAATGCAACCCTTAAAGGGATAGTTCCCCTTTGAAATTATTTTTTGATATGTTTTAGCTTACCTCAAGGGCATCCAATATGTAGGTGTCTTTGTTTCCACAGTATTTTCAATTTTGACATTTTTCGGTCAAACCGGTGACTGTATATAATGCAGGTTTAGGGGGTCCACCTCAAAGAGCGTGCACAGAGAAGTCCAAATTAAACATGATTTAATGACTCGTGAATGTAAGTACACACTGATGCCCTAAGACACGAAACGAGCGGTTTAGTGAGAAAACGAACAGTATTTATATAGTTTTTACCTCTTGTTAACAGCCGTCGAACTGATCTGAATCAGATGTCCAACTGAACCGAACTGAACCGTGTCCAACGTTACGCCAGAAGTGATATCTCGCGTGTCTACGTCACGCATTGTTTACACTGAGATTTCGGAAGTTTTACCTTTCACTAAACATATTTAGATATATCGAACCGCTCGTTTCGTGTCTTAGGCCATCAGTGTGTACTTACATTCACGAGTCATTAAATCATGTTAAATTTTGACTTCCCTATGCACGCTCTTTGAGGTGGACCCCCTAAACCTGCATTATATGACTGACAGACAACACCGGTTTGACCAAAAAATGTCAAAATTGAAAATACTGTGGAAACAAAGACACCTACATCTTGGATCCCCTTGAGGTAAGCTAAAACATATCAAAAATGTATTTCAAAGTGAACTATCCCTTTAAATGGGTTATTTTTATACTGGTGTTCCAAGTGGTTTGACATGGTCTCAATGTCTAAAAAAATATATGAAAATATGCTTTGTTTATTCATCAAGAAAGTAACTAAAACGATTACCATGAATCACCAGTGTAAAAATACTCAATTGTGTTGTTGAGAAATAGGATGTAAAACATTTCTTACCCATCCATACTTCTCCAAACTGCCCCTGCCCCAGCCTGCGCTCTAGATTGAGAGACTCACGGGGAACTTCCCACTCATCCTGCCACCAGGGCTTCTGAGGGGCTCGGGTCTGACACGGTTTCACCAGGCGGGCGCATAGTCCATCAGCCTCTCCTGCACAGTGAATCGTGTCACTTTATAAACAGTTCTTGTGTCTTTTATAAATAATCTGATAACAAGCGATTTGTCTATGGCACATATGAATACTCAAACATACGTGAGTAATGTTTGACCAGCTCTGAGAGGGAAGTGAAGGAGATCTTGGTGGTGATGTAGAATCCGCCTGCGTCCAGGTTGCGGATTCTGTAGTGCTTGATGATGTCACCCTGTGTTTGGTCAAGGTCTCGCATAGATAGGGAAAAACTACCTGAGACACCAGAACAAGATGACAATCAGAGGCTGCCAACTGCAGTAACACATCTACTGTCAGAACACAGAGAATTTCTAAACTAGAGGCATTTTACAGTTAATGACATGTAGAACATGTTCTAAAATTCACCCGAGAATTATCCTAAAAGAATTCCTGACACAATAACCTATTTAAATATTTGTATGTGCCCCCCAAGTCATGTGTCTTGGCACCGGGACTATGAAACTGTGGCAGTGTCTGATGTGGCCTCATGCTTTTGTGTTTGTTTTTGTTGCTGTGTGAGAAGCAATGCGTTGTTTCACACCTGGGTTGGTCTCACTCTCTCTGATGAGGAAGGAGCCCTGCGTGTTTCCAGGGGCCAGTAATTGCCTCATGGCGTCATTCCTAGAGAGATTTTTAAAGAACCACCTGCAACACAACATTATTGTCATTTTATTAGGGCTTTGGTTCATTAAGTAACTCATTTGGATCATTTATTTTGAGTTTAAATTGTTTCGGAGATACAGGGTTTGGGCGTTTCACTACTCCCACGCTCAGAAGAGAGACACTGAACATACGCAGAAATGTGGCATCAGCAAGTACTAGAGTGGTTTAACATAGTGATGCTCAGAAACTTGCGTGATTTGTGGGAGTATTTTTTTCTTCTCTTTCCATTTCTGACACCCCGTAAATCATCTGTCATAATCGACAAGGGATACCCTGAATGAATCACCTTTCACCCACAGTTTTGGGCGTCATTTCCCAAATCTCATTGTGGGGGAAGCTGATTTGATCTTTTCTTTTCAAAAAACCAAAGCAGCTGATCTACATACATGCATATAATTGTGATATTGTGTGGATAGGTTTGGGTATACATGAGTATTTGTGGAATTGTTTGGGTATACGTGTGTGCGCTCTGAACGTTACATTACTTACGGTTCTGTCTCAATGCTGTTCAGTTTTGCTACAAAATTCTGTGGTATGTATCCCTTCTGCCCGGTAAACAGAGACTCTGCCATGTACCATTCAGGATCATCGCTAAGAAACACACATACACATACCAGAACAGTGTTGTAAACCATACAAGAACCCAAAAGTAAACAATGTTTAGATAATCGGCTCAGAGTGTCAGTCTGATTTAACATAGGCTTTTCTTACGCATTTAGGATTTTCATCTTCTCCCCTTTCTCAAACCCAAGATCGTCACTGTGGCTTGGCTCATATTTGTATATGGCTACCACTATGTTTTCTGCAATACAAAGATGACAAGAGTGAGCTATCTGAAACACACATTAAAGAGAAAAATGTAGGACAGGTGTTTAACGTATCATCTCACCTGGAAGAGGAGATGATGGTGGAGGAGTGTACTGGGATGGATAGGGAATCAGAGGATCAAAGTTCTGTGTGAGAGAGAGAAGAGAACACATATGTATATATATATATATATATATATATATATATATATATATATATATATATAGTATAGCAATATAGTATAGCAATGTTAGTTATTTGATAATGATTAGCAATTTCCCTAATGAGGTCTTTATGATATTAAAACCTAATCTTTTCATCAATTTCAATAATTTAACAATGTCATAAACTAAACAAAGCCTCTTCCCTATAAACAGGGATATATATAAGCTGTTCTTATTTTCTTCTCTCACAGCCTATGAAACAACTACCACAGTAAAAGAAAGCATTCCATCATTCTCCTTATGCAATAACAACGTGTGTTGTTCTCTTTAATTTCTAATCTACTTAGGAAATGCGCCTCAAATTTAGCTAGAAGTTTTAGTCTCCAATTGATAACCAACACAAAGGCACATTTCCCTCAAATTATGTAACCCTGAATGGGTTGACCCATCTAAACAATGAGTTACATCATCGCAGACAGACCACAGTAGGAACAGATACAATTAATTCATCTTTTTTTTTTTTCTTGGAGGTGTTTTAGCCACAAAGAATGTGTATTCGAGTCAGAAAATTAAATGAAATAAGTTTTACACATTTTTTAACTACACTGAATTTAACTTCAGGCAATTTCAGATTAAGATATCCCCTGACAAATTGTGTGATTATATTTATAACATATTAGATCTAAGATCTAAAAACTACCTGTGTTAAGAGACTAATACATTACTTGTGTTAAAGGTAAAACAAAATGTGTTGGCTTAGACACAGATGTGTTAAAAAAAAAAACACAGGTTGTGTTATTTTTATCACATCAGTTTTAAGAGTGTGGGGTCAGTGGTCAACCAAATTTAACCATGTTTAGAAGATCTACTGAGATTGTCAGTCTGTTTTAACATAGGCCTTGCATACGCATTTAGGATTTTAGGATCTTTACAAAGCAAAGGTCGTCGTATATCAGTATCATAAATCCTTTTTCCAATTTTATTTTACTAAACCTAACTAAATTAAACATTGCCATTGCATATTGAAAGAGCACATGAAAACACATTTTCCATTTCAGTTTCAGCTGTAGGCATTTTTCAAAAATGCTTTGTGTAGCACTTTGTAAGACATTGTTGTGTTTTATACCACAGAAATTTGTAATGCATGTGTTTAGTGTAGAGAACGGCTCCACCACTTCCTTTCTCTCTCGTCTCCCTACATATTTAGTGACTTCTGTCACTGTCTCACATTACAACCTGCCTCTTCTTAACAGTCTCACTATTCCGAAACAATATATTAATTGAAAAAAATTATATTGCAACATTTTCTAATGCTCAGTGTGTGAATTATTCAATGACTTCCATGGGAATTCTTAGGAATTTTTGTGGGGTTCAAGGATCTTGGTAAGCCAAATATCTTAGCACAGCTAGCTAACCGTAAACGATCTTAAATAGGTATAAAAAAACAAACAAACCACAGAATAGAACTTTCTCACATATCCGAGGTTCTCAGAAGCGGAAATCACCATTTTGTGTAAACTTCAATAGCGGTGAATGGGAGAGGATGGCAAATATATTTTTTGTATTTGTATTAAAGTAAAAATAAGTAATAATTATTAATACAAAAATAAGTATTAACTGTGCCATAAAATTTTCTTTAGCTGACAGAAACGTACCTGACTGGGTGGAGGCTTTGGACAGTTACATTGATCACACCATTCATCTGGATGGTAGGAAAATTCGTCATCAGGATCAAAAGAGCCGCAGTTCCCCATATTTACTAAAAATGAAAGAAAACAGAAAATGAAGATGACAACTATCATAATTCTGACTCTAATAGCCTAAATAAATTCATGGATATACATTCGTAAGTGCAATAGGTGCATCGATCTAGCTTCTGGCATACAAAAGCAGGGTAGTGGCTTAATAAAATAGGTAATAACTAAAAAGGTTTTGACATTATTGTGTGTATTTTTTATTTGTTGGCATGCTTTCTCTTTGAGTTGTATTACTGTAGTTACATTAAATAATGTGTAGAATAGCTCCCTTTAAAACAAAGAGGGAATTAATGGAGAGTGTGTTTCCTGTTTCATCAGAAAAAAATAGAGCCAAAAACATTCAGTTTATATATTTTACCTTTTTTTCTGTGCCTGGGTTAAGCTGTCTTTTAAAAAAAGTTCTAGACCAGATCTGTAAAGGAGGTTAATCCTCTTAATGAATTCTAAACCCTTTTTCCAACTCGCATAAGTTTCAGACAGTTTTCTTAGTGAATGATTTAGATGTATTTTTCACTTGTCTTAAAGGGATACTCCACTTTTTTTTGGAAATAGGCTCATTTTACAACTCCCCAGTTAAACAGTTGAGTTTTACCGTTTTCTAATCCATTCAGACGATTTTCGTAGTTAAAAAAATGGAGTATCCCTTTAAACATTAAGTGGTTTGCATTAAGAATATACACTCTAAAAAATGCTGGGTTGTTTTAACCCAACTTTGGGTCAAATATGGACTAACCCAGCCGTTGGGTTAAATTTTTACATTACATTTTTAACCCAACATTTCGGGTTTGTCCATATTTGACCCAAAATTGGGTTAAAACAACCCAGCATTTTTTAGAGTGTAGCAATATATCCCTGTACATAAGTTTTTCTATGTAAGACTGCAGCGTACTGTAGTTTATCCATATGTAAACACTCAAGCCCAAAAGCATTTTCATTGCCATTAAACAGATAAATAATCAGAGTTCATGTGCTAACACAATGTGTATGTCTCTGTGGGCTTTGGACCCGTGAGAAACTTTGTTGTTGGGTCAGGAAAAGCTCAACCCTATGGGTCAAACTGAACACTGTGAACTCCTGGGACTGTTTGAGAGAACAGCCCAAATCAAAGCATGATCTAGACTCTAGACAAGACTTTCCACTGACCTCCGGCCTGTACCTGACCCGACCAGTATCAGTGCAAATGAGTCTCGAGAGATGCACAGCAAGGTCAAATGTTTTGGGTTCAGATTACAAGCAGTTAATAGTTTGTAGGTGTTCCTAATCACTTAAAGGGATAATCATTGGGGTCCAGTGTTGTTTTGGCTTTATTATATGGACAACAAACACTAATATTTTTCAAAATAAAAAATCAGGACAAAGGAAGTCATATGAATGACATGAGGGTGCTAATGACAAATGATTTTGTGTTAATTTAGGCCTCCATGTTCTCCTGTTACAGAAGATGTGTTTTTATTGGTCTGAAATAAAATCAAAGATATCAAATGCCTCTGGAACCCCAATCACAAGTTTTTCATATATCACTGTGCACTGAATTTGTCTGCATTATGCTGGAGAGTAAACAGAGGTCAAGAGGTCGAGACATGAGGGATAAACTTTACGATTCCCACCAAACAGTCAAAGTTAAGCCAAAAAATATTGTTGGCTTAAAATTTGCCTGCTTTATTATATAAAGAGCTGTTGTTTTTTATGTTATTTTATTTTACCTCAATGTTTTATCAGTTCTACTGCACTAGATAAAAGTGTACCATTTTATGACTGACACTTAGGCTACCCTAATAAATAAATAAATAAATGATTTTAACATATACATAATGGCATTGTGGTAGTTTGATTTCGATTAGGAATAAGGCAATAATGTTTTTTGTAAATTAAAATTAACAGCCTTAATCGTTTCCCCAGCATTTATTAAAATCCCATTTTCCCCCAAAAAAAGCCACCATTGTTAATCTATAAGGATTTTCTCTTTTTCTGTTTTAATCTAATGTGACTCAATCCAAAATCACCCCTGTGATGGAATTAAAATGTAAAATCATGTGGTTGTTCTTGACTGACCTTTAGGTCGAATACAAAAACAACAAAGCCAATGATGACATACATTAAATCATAACTATATCATATTTCATTTGTGAATTACTTTGCAAACTAAATAACAAATTTAACAAATTTTTAGCCGACAGCGCAAACATGTTCTAGAAATTTCGATTTGAACTGCGGAGAGATATTATTTCAATCCGAACACACACATCTACTTTTCTACTTCAGAATAGTAAGACTTTATATCTGGATTTAAACTTCACATTAATAATTCACTAAGTGTTCTGTTCCACTGTTTGAGAAACTAAAATATCAAATATGGGCCTAGCAAATATTATGAGCTCAGCTTAAAACTCTTTTTGATTTCTTTTTTTTCTTATATTTTAAGACTTTTAAAATTATGAAATTATTAAAAGTATAATCTGCCCCATCTCAGTTTGTCTCAGGCTTTAGTTTTACCTTGTAAAGTCTCATCCAATAATTTATTCACTAATTTAAAGAAGCCACTGCCTGAGAGTACCGGTCTGATAACCTGTTCTCGTTCGAATTAATCTGGGCCTCGATTTAAGTGAGGAAAAAGTTGAAACCCGCAAGTAAAACTCACCTTTTCTGTTGAAAGATGCTGATATCAGTGATGGGCCAGTTCAGCAGGCATTCCCATTTCGTTAGCTTTATATTTTATGAAGAACACATTTTTCCACGGAGCATCTAAACCAAGATTATGAACAAAACAACGAGATCTGTAAAACTTCGGCGTGTTTCGATGACATGTGCTGCTAAGCGTCAAGTTGTGTAAGTCACGAAAGAGTTTGACTTCCCACCTTCACGAAGGCACATCATTTGTGAAAGCATCACTCTCTCTCACACACACACACGCACACACACACACACACCACAGTGGTGCAGACTCAGAGCAAGCTGATGATAGAGCTTCCTGTCGTTGAAGTGTTTGAGCTGATATTTAACCTTTTTTTCAGCAGGTGCACACTACTCTCAGCAGCTGGTGTCATTGGAGTGAAGGTTTATGGGTCAGGACTCCACTCGTCACCTGGTTTTGTCGCACCATTATGTCAAAGAGTGGAAAAGTTAACGGCTCTCATGGGTTTTTTGGCTTGTAGGCCTACTTGTACTGAATAGTAACAACTGAATAGCCACAAAACATACACTCTAAAAAATGCTGGGTTGTTTTAACCCAACTTTGGGTCAAATATGGACTAACCCAGCCGTTGGGTTAAATTTTTACATTACATTTTTAACCCAACATTTCGGGTTTGTCCATATTTGACCCAAAATTGGGTTAAAACAACCCAGCATTTTTTAGAGTGTAGGCTAACTTTTGAATATGCATGCTTAAAAGGGTGACATTGCTATTCTATGCAGCATTTGTCACCATTCGCACACACACACAAAAAATCGAGCCTCTGAATCAAACATCAGTTGCTCTGTTACAGAGTAGGCCTGATATGCAGTTTGCACCATACAATAAACTAATATGCAAGTGGATAATTTTGAGGTAAAGTACTTTTCTTTTTTCAATCAGCTTCTTGGAGATGATGCTAACCCATCTCATGCCTCTCTTCAGATCTGTCTCTTAAACCCGTTCGGTGTCTCTCTCTCCGAGCAGACCGCACACTTTTGTTGTGGCATCAGGCTGCAGATAGTGCATGCATTTGCAGGAAGTCGCAGCCGAAACATTCAAAGGAAATGAGGTACATTCTTAAGTTTTCTACTGCAGGAACACTCCTCTTAATTTAGACACTGACGCCCAAGCCTAGTCTCTCATTTATATTTATTTAGATTTATGTCGTTCAACATGACTGAAATTGTGTTTGACCAGGTTCTTAATGTGGTGAGTCCACTGATCACAGCAAAAATACGTGTTTCATTGTGGTTGGGGGTTGTGGATGTGAATGTTATACAGTGAATATTAATCATATGTTGGCCTATCACTCAATGAGAATCCCTCAAAAGATGAACCACACGTGGGGTCCGTTTTGCAATGGTACGTCAAATCCTGGATTTCTTGTTTAGTTTTTGCTTCTCAATTTGAGTAAAAGATTGAAACAATTGTTTTTCCATTCTTTGGTGGTCTTGTGGTTGAAAAGAGGGGGGTTTGAAGGAGTGGGGGCTTAACAGACAGTTACATGTTCACAGTTACATTTCTTCTGAGAGCAAATGAAGAGTTCAGATGCAAAAGCCTCTAAGTGCCATTTGAAATTTTGTTCTAGAATGACAATTTTTTATCAAGCTTGTGTATTTAAGTTCAGTAATTTCACTTAAATGACAATTAATAGGTAATCTTCATTGCCATTTAAGTGAAATTACTGAACTTAAATACACAAGCTTGATAAAAATGATAATTTTAGAAGAAAATTTCAAATGGCACTTAGAGGCTTTTGCATCTGAGCTCTTCAAATGTTCATTTGATGATCTGAGATTGTGAAACTTTTCAATCTGGGGTATTGGGACAACATGGGGTGGTTCTAGGAGATCTTTGGAAATTTTAAGAGATTCAAAATATTTGATGTGTTTTAAAACAAAAACTATCAGCAAATATGCATATGTGTTAGATGTTAATTTCTCTTTCCTTTCTCCAGTTTATGATTTTATTTTTCTCTTTCTAGAGAGATTTTCTTCTTCCATTGTTGTCTTTAGGTTGTCTAATTGTATGGTATATTTTCTGTAAAGCTCCTTTTGAAAAATCTGAAATATATATATATATATTATATCATTATTACAATAATTGTTACAAATTGTAAGTTATACATATTGCTTAGTGTTATGCAAATAAATATATGCCCTAAACGCTTTTGAAAAACTTGTTATAGCAGGATTTCGCAGGCCATGCTTTATGAATATCAACCAATTTTCTTTGCAGGATATTATTCATTCTATATGCAGATAGTCTATATATGTAACAATCCAAAACTTTTAATTCATGCCAAATAAAAGTAAGTTTAGGTAGGTTATCATGATGGTTTCATTTAAACTCTACAAAGCATACTGCCACTTTCATGGTATCATGTTTGTTTTCTATTCTAGGTCTCGAGGGAATCTGTATGTGGAACACAACTAACCACTTTTTGTGTCTTCTCAGGTGACAAAAATAGTTCATGTTTCTGTTCAAAGGAGTAATCCTCATGTCATGTGAGATGTTAAATGAATGTACTTGCTCTAATGCTTTATAAGATATAAACTACAAAAACTTGTAATATCAGTGTTGAGAACAGCTTTAGGGAAAAAGGCAGATTCTCTTGTCTCTCTCTCTCTCTCTCCGTCTGTATTTATCAAGCATGAGATCATTTCTTGGCAGTCACATGGCTCCTTCTGACAGCCAGTCCTATCGCTGTAGTTACAATCGATAAAGCAATTGGTCCATTGGTATAAATATAAATTCAGGTTTTTCTGAGAATTACCATCTTTTTTCTTTCCCGTGACAACACTGCATAAAACTGTGCAAGACGGAAAAGGCAAAGCAAGAGAACGACTGCACGAAACTGTTTGGATAATTACACAAATTGATAAATCAACACAATATTGTGAATACATTTTGAAGATTTTAAATGTATGTATTTATAAATATACATTTATTTAAACATTTAAAGCAACAGTAATGTTCAAAAGATTTAAAAATTTTCATTATAGTGAATGAGTTACAGTGAAGGATGATTTTCTCAATAAGGATGGATGGATGATATCACAATATCTCTCCAAATTAATTTTCAAAGACATCTTTATTCATTTCAGGCAACTTTTAAAGCATGTTTTAGTTTGTACATCAAACATTTGAGTAATCAAAAAATATGCATTACTGTTCAAAAGTTTGGGGTCTGTAAAAAATTTTTATTTTCGAATTAAGTCTCATGTTCTAACCAACACAAATGGTTTGGTCACATTAAATTTTTTAATTACAATTTAAAACCCAGTGGTTGGGTTTGTCCATATTTCACCCAAACATGGGTTGAAACAACCCAGAATGTTTAGAGTGAAGGCTGCATTTCTTCTGTATTCAAAATACAGAAAAAAAATTGTAAATATAAAAATATAATTACAATGTAAAAGCCCTTTCCTTCACTTTTGATCAATTTAATGCATCTTTGCTGAATAGAAAGTATTCATTTCATATATGATATATTTTTAAAAATTGTCAGCGCACATTCAGTCCCAAGATGAAATTTGTAAAAAAATATAAAGGTCTTTTAGCACTTACAGTATATGCACAAAATTAGTGCTATAGCCTATTTCCAGTGCTTGTAATAAAGTAAACTGAACTTTAATTGGGTTCTGTGGAAGTACAAAGAACACAAAACTCATTTAAATCTAGTAATCTTACTGTGTAAAGGAAAGTTTCCCAAGCACAACATTCTCGAACATCAAGCAAAAAATGTATGTTAGACCAACCACCGAAAGTGGGCTGAACAGTTTTTTACATGCTGCAGCTCTGAGTGTGTGTTATTTTTAGGTTTCAATGGACAAGGTGACAAAATGCCTGAACACAAACTCACACTTCCTGTGAGGCGGCATGTAGCTCGGGACCACAGCCAAGCCGACAGGAGAGTGTTTTGTCCCCTAAGCAGTCAGGAACACTGATGGGAGTGTGTGCCAATCACACGCCTTTTGACACAGAAGCAGGTTCCTCCTGATTCTTATAGATCAGTTCAGATATATTCAAAACTATAAACTCTTTCCCAACTCTGAGGACTTTCTCAGACGTGTGGTGAGTCCCCTTTCACAAGTGGTTTAATATTTTGTAGTGCTGGTTACTGCATTTCCAGATAGGCTATGTAGTCACGTTTTGAAAAAGTTCAATAAAGCGAAGTTATTTGAAGAAAAAGGACGATTTTATTATTATTATAGTCCAAATTTAATGAAATAAAACTTTGGCTTCCAGAGTCAGTCATACATTAAAAGTTCTGCTTTGAGTTTTCTTGAGGGCGTCTCTCATCGCCCAGCCTCTCAACAGAGTGAGAATCGTCTGGAGTTGAGGTTCATTTTGGTGAGACCAATATGTTTGAGGGTTGTGGAAAGAGTGAAGGCGGCTTTCATGGGGATGTCGCACAGCAGGTCTGAGTCCTCCTCGCACTCCTCCAGCTCATACGTGGCGTCATCCAACATCTCTTTGTGACGGTGACACACCTGTTCCACCTTCAGCCTGTGGATCTCCACCCGTAAGCGAATCAACTGCCGTGCAAGACGGTTATCCTGCATCTGCATCTCCCTCTGAGAAATAAATGTGTGTGTGTGTGTGTGTGTGTGTGAGAGAGAGAGAGAGAGAGAAAGAATGATTTTATAGCTTACACATCACGGTGGACTACAGCTAAAACCAGATACTTTGCTAACCAGCAGATATAAGATTAAATTATTCGGAACAGCAATCACACATGCAGGGAATTGTGTACACCTTCCTGTCGAACACCCACTCAAGTTTCTGCACCTGTGTGGAACATTTCATTGTAAAATGCCAAGAGACAAGAGTCATGTCACCTGTGTTGTATATGCTGAATATTTCAATATATCTCACTTCACAGTGGTCTGGCTTATTGGCCAAATCAAATTGCCTGTTTAACTGCTATAATATGTATTATTTACATATTTAACATAAGTAATTTGGTATTTGCATACACTAGCTAGCCTACTGTACAAATGTTTGGGGTCGATACAATTATTATTATTTTTTAAAGATGCTCAATAATTCTGCATGTATTTGATCAAAAATATAGTTAAAAAACAGTAATATTCTGAAATAACATTATTTTCAGCTCTACATTACATGTGTCTTAATATTTTTGTGGACCACGCGATTCATCTTCAGGATAGACTAGAAAGATCAAAAGAACAGCAATTGTTTAAAATAGGAGTAACGTCATGCTACAACATTATACTGTTCCTTTTGATTTAATGCGTAGGCTACTAGCTGAATTTGAATGGTAGTGTTTCTTGAATGTTTAAGAAGAACTTAAGACTTAATGACTAATGAGACTTAATGATGATAACTTAATGACCTAAAGGCATGTAGAAATTTTAAAAATCCCCAAAACCACTGGTGGATGGATGGATGGATGGATGAATAGATAGATAGATAGATAGATAGATAGATAGATAGATAGATAGATAGATAGATAGATAGATAGATAGATAGATAGATATTTTATAGCCTAAATACCCTACAATTACCATCTTATAGCCTAAATACCCTACAATTACCATATCTTAGTCAAAAGTAAAAAAAAAAGAAAAAAGTTTTAGGCAATAAATACCAGTTCGTTTCTGAGCCACTGTAACGCGTCGTCTATAGTATCAAAGCCGCATATATTCTTAAAAGGCATCCCATCTTTCCAGATGTCTGATGGCTGCGTGTCCTCCACCACAGGTCCTGGGCTACTGACGTCTGAACTCTGTGCAACATCAATCCACGGGTGAGCCTGCAGCCGCTCCTTCCATTCTACGTACGACGGTCTGCGTGTTTGGAGCTTGAGTTTCTCTGTTAGGGCTTTCACACTATCCAGATCCTCCATATTATCCTCAGAGCTCTCGTCTGCTCCCAGCTCTCTGAACTCCATCACTGTGCTGCTTTCATTCCAGCTGGGTGAGACTGTGACTTGTGACTGTTCAGACATGTGTGCTGTGCCTGATCATGTGCACGAGGGATTAATCTCAAGAGGTGTGCTGAGCTCATGTTTATAGACAGAAAAGTGACCGCCCATGTTCTGCAGCCTTATGTCATGTCATCACAGCCTTATGTGATCAGTGTTTAATCGGAGAACTTTAGACATTCGGAGCTTGAGGCTATGTTGCGGCAGGGAGCAAAATTTCGTGTTACCATGTGAAACTATTCAAGTGGCACAAGGTCATGGCTCCCTTAAAATCTTTAGTAGCCTATTAACAGCTTCTCACACGTCACACACCTCACAAATAAATCAGTTTTAATAAAAAAATATGGTTTCACAAAGGAAATTAAGAAATTACAGTAAATATTTAACTGATGTATCTTGTGGCCCAAATCTCGCTCACACTTTTTATATTCAACAAGTCATCCCGACTGCGCCAAACTTGAGTCCTGTAACTCCTGTTTTATAACAGAATGTCTCCATCTTCTGATAATGTTGATGAATTGCAGCTAGAATCTAGGCATATTTAGCAAAGAATTACAATCCAGCATCAGAATCCGTCAGATATAATTTATTGTTCTAAAACAAACAGTAAGCCTGTTAGTGGGGCCCCAGCCGGGACCCTCAGAGAGCCGCAAAGGTTTAGAGACTCCTGGAAAAAGTTCAGAGAATTTTTTTTTTTAATTACAATTAGCCTGATATTTAATTTTATTAACAACAACAAAGTTTGATTATCACACTATCACACATTATTTAATTATATTGAAAGATAAGAGCAAAAAAAAAAAAAGGAAAAAATGAAGAAACAACAAAGTAAAAAAAATCACTGTATAAATTGATCTTTATACACAAACATCCTAGGCCTATTTAGAGAGGATCCCTCGCAAGACTTACATCAATATATAAAACAAATGTTACGTATAAGCCTACTTTTAAAAGTAAAAACAGGTTCAATCCTGACCAAAAAAAATAGAAAGATTCACGTTTTATCAGAATTAAGTTATTGTGAAGTAACAATAAGTGAAGTCATCGGCCTATAGGCCTTTAATGCTTGTTTCATGGAATGCCAAAGCTGACTTACTTTACAGCAAAACAATGATGCAAAGAAGTTTCTCTGAAATAAAAGTTTTTAAAAATCATTTAAAAAAAGAATTACACGTAGGCTACTGACTATGCTATATTAGTACAACAAAAACGCAAAAAATAAATGACAAAAATGCTAAATGAAGTGTCATTTCCAGTCAAGATGCACAGTGACTATTGACTTGAACTTACACTTCATTCAGCATTTTTGTCACATATTTTTGCAAACATGTTGTTGTTGCTTTATTCATGTCTATCTTAATTAATTGGCTGTAGTTTATGCCCTCCCCCTTGTCAATTTTTACTGCTCCTACCACCACCACCATCATCATCATCATCACCATCAGCATCAGCATGGTCCAGAGACACCCTCTCATGGTTGTGAGATCACTAAACGGTACAAAAATCTCTTCACAAGTTATGGCAGGAAGAGTAGGGGGGCAGCCACAACAATAAACAGAAACATCACAAAAAGAGAAGAGGGCTGGGACTTCAAGAACGGAAACGAAAGCAGAGAAGCAAACAAAACTCTTATGAATCGCGCGAGCAGTCGAGCAGACACACCTCCCGCAGCCTGCCCACTGTCGAGGCTATTGTCATTTTATATTTGCCATATGCCGGTAAGTTTTTAACAGACTACATTAACGTCAAAAAGTGGGACAACGTTTTGTAAAGGATTGCTTTAAAACATTTGCGGAAAACTGAGAAGTAGTGGCTCGCCCACCAGCTCTCTAAACTCGAGAAGTAGCTACCATATGGTGGATGTTGTCATAGTGAAATGGAGTTGTCTGAGCACATTAAGACGGCTAATGTTGAAGATGTCACCCTGAGAAGACCTTTCCATCCAGCGCTCAGAGGAACCCTGTGCGTTACCAGCCACCACCTTCTGTTCTCAGACAGAAAGCATGAAGATTCCTGGCAACTTCTCATTCTCCTCAGAAACATCGATGCCACTGAGAAAAGGTAGACTTGGGGGTGTCGACGACCCATCATAAACGTTGATTCAGTTATGTTAAGCCTAATATTTTGACTTTATTTATTGTTTAATGTTACCATATCAAGCAAGCACATGTATTTATTTCACTATTAATTTTTTTTTTCATGTAGTCCTATGTAGCCTATAATACACTTGTCCTTTGTTATACATAATTCATATTCTCATTACGTGCAAATATACTATTTAATCGCATGATTACAGATAAGGTTAAAAAATTGTGTGTGTGTTTGATCCCTGCAGTGACCTGCTTCTGTAATATTAAACTCTAATTCTCTCTTTCTCTAATATAACTCATCACTTTTCCTCCGTGTCAGTGTCGAGAATCTTTTCGGATACCCCAGGTACACTTTTAAAGCAGGCCCAATGTTTGATTTGTGCACTGTCATTGCTCATTGAAGCTGCAGTTTTATTCTGATCTGGGATCTGCTATTAATGTTAAAAATGAGGAGAGCAGTGGGCAGCATCTCGTTTCAGCATAAGAAGGCAACTTCTAAAATGAGCTGCGCTGGCAATGTGTTCTTAGCTTATGGCAGAGAGGAGAACAGAATAAACATATTTTGCAAGATCTTTTGTGCTTCACAGTGAGCATTTACTCAAAAGATCATACTCTGACATGCTTTCTGTGTTTTGAATACATACAAAGCATTTATTTGTGCAATATACATTTATGTTTGTGATAATGTGCAAATACGGAGAGGAACGGAGAGCTTACATTCTATTAAAGTTCTATTTAGCTCTCTCTATTTATATCAGTGTCTCTCTGCTAGCCTTATGCACATGGCTTGTTTTTGCTTCCTGCTTCTGTCTCTTCTGAGGCCCCTATGGGGATGATTGAATGGAATTTGAGAATGTGTATGTTCTTAAAAATGTGTGGGGTGTATTGTACGTGTCTAATACAGGGCTGTGGGATCCTCTGGTACTATCACCATTAAATGTAAGGACCTGCTTGTTCTTCAGTTGGAAATTCCTGGAATGGAGGAATGTCTGAACATAGCCAGTTCTATAGAGGTACTAATATTGTTCTCACAACTCGCGTCTGCGACAGGGATTATAAATAAATAAATGCTAATTTTTAGGAAAAGGTACTCTACTGTTCAAAACTTCGGTGTCTGTTTTATACAGATTTTTTAAAGTAGGCTATTTAAAAGAAGTCTCTTATGTTTAGCAACACTGCTTTTGAATGCACATTCGAACAAACCCCCTAACCCTTCCTTAAGTATTAAATGTGCAACTTGTCCCCAACCATTTGTGCTACGGACATAAATTAAACCTTAAATCAAGCAGATTGTGTATGACTTGGAATTCAACTTTTGCGAACGGCAATAATACACTAATACAATACAATTAGGGTTGCACCTACGTATATTGCCTATTAAAGTTCTGTATTTCATGTTATGGCTGATAAGTGTTGCAATATTATTATTTTTTTTACTATTTTATGTAAATAATACTAAAAACTGAAAGTAAATTTAGTCATCATAACATAATGTGCATTCTGAGATTTGCTAAAGCGTATATTTAGCAGTGTTACAATATTATTAGTGTTTTTAATGATTCGCTTTGAATTAGTATTAGAAGATGGCAAAGGATTTATCCAAATGTACAAATTGGGGAAATTACCATGCACAATTAAATATCCAATATTGGCAGATACCGATAAATTAAAAATATATTGAGAAAATCTTTTCCTCTAGTCAGAAAAAGCATCCTGGAAAATCCTAAATACTATGGGTCATTGTCAAGATGACATCTCTTAAAAGATTACTTTCAAAGATGGCTGAAGAGGACAAATGAAAGATGACAAGCATATTATTCTGAAAGAAGAAGCCAATCTTCAATCTTCAATCTTCTGATATTGTCTCATGTCTCTGTAGGCTCTCTCGGCTCTGGAAAGTGTGACAGAGATGTATCCTTTTTTCTATAGACCGTCACACCTTACTCTGCATGGCCCATGGGGCCTGTTCTCAACAGAGAAATATTACAAACAAACAGAAAAACTGGTGAGCTGTATTCTTTCACTTTCACTTCCCTTTTCTTCAGACCAGTTAATGTCATTCTGTAATTCTCTCACTTTGAGAAACACACAAGAAAATAGACAAACAAATGCTCAAAATCATTATTTAATGTTAGCCATTGCTTAGTTTCCTGAAAGGAAGTCAAACAGGAAGCACTTTGCTTGCCACAGGAAACTAAAAGCAGTTGTGAGATATGTGGACACTTAAATTCACAGGAAACGGTGTGTGTATGCTTTAGTTTGCAATAGTTTATATTTTCTATTTCTTGTTTTTTTCAATAGCTTTCATTATCACCCATTGTCATCTCACAGCTGTTTCACGGGCCTTCATTTCTTCCCATAGCTGTAGATGTTTATCTCTCACCTCCTTTTGGCATGACATCATATTTACTGTGTTTTTTTTACTCGTCACTCAGTGTTATATCCTGTATCTAGTTTATATAAAAAATTGATTATTTATCATTTATAACTATTTATAACTAATATGTTTAAATATATAAAGCATGTATGCATATATATTTAACTGTATACATGTACATGCTTGTGTATGTTCATTATATATGCATGTGTGTGAACAGTGGGACCGGTGGAGAGTCAGTACAGTAAACTCAGATTACTCTGTATGCCCATCGTATCCGCATGCGGTCATTGTGCCTCGCGAGGTGGATGATGAGAAGCTGGTCCAGTCAGCCCGGTTCAGACAGGGCGGCAGATTTCCTGTGCTCTCCTACTGTCACCATAGGAACGGAATGGTGAGTGTAGGATGTTTCAAATCATGGCCATAACCAGGGTTCGAAAAATTAGTGAGGTCTAGGGTATTTTGTCGAAACCTTTTGCCATTCTATATTATATATATCTATATATCTATATCTATATTAGATTAAATTAAATTAAAAAACTAAAAATAAAATAAAAAATAGATTAAATTAAATTAAAAAACCTTATTTATTGCATCACAATTT